TGTTGTTGTTGTTGTTGTTGTTGGTGGTGGTGGTGGTGGTGGTGGTGGTGTTGGTGTTGGTGTTGGTGTTGGTGTTGGTGTTGGTGTTGGTGTTGGTGTTGGTGGTGTTGTTGTTGTTGTTGTTGTTGTTGTTGTTGTTGTTGTTGGTGGTGGTGGTGGTGGTGGTGTTGGTGTTGGTGTTGGTGTTGGTGTTGGTGTTGGCTTTGATTGGTTTGTTTAGTTTTGGTTTGTGTTGTTTTTGCTTTCTTTTGCTGATGTGACTTATGTGTGTGCGTGTGTTGTGTTTGTTATGTGTTTGTTATGGTTGTTTTGCTAGTTTGTTGGCTTGTTTGTTTGTCTTCTTGTTTGTTTGCTTGATTCATTGATTGGTTGGTTGATTGATTGCTTGCTTGTTTGATTGCTTATTGTTTTGCTTCTTTGTTTGTTTGGTTGCTTGTTTTGTTTGTTGCTTGTTTTGTTTGTTTGCGTGTTTTGTATGTTTGCTTGTTTTGTTTGTTTGCTTGTTCTGTATGTTTGCTTGTTTCGTATGTTTGCTTGTTTCGTATGTTTGCTTGTTTTGTTTGTTTGCTTGTTTGGTTGGCGAAGTTGGCGGCTTGCTTGCTTGCTTGCTTGCTTGCTTGCTTGCTTGCTTGCTTGCTTGCTTGCTTGCTTGCTTGCTTGCTTGCTTGCTTGCTTGCTTGCTTGCTTGCTTGCTTGCTTGCTTGCTTGCTTGCTTGCTTGCTTGCTTGCTTGCTTGCTTGCTTGCTTGCTTGCTTGCTTGCTTGCTTGCTTGCTTGCTTGCTTGCTTGCTTGCACACTTGGTTGCTTGTTTGGTTGTATGTTTGTTGTTTGTTTGTTTGTTTGTTTCTTTCTTTGTTTCTTTGTTTGTTTGCTGGCTTGATATGGTTTGAATTGGTGTGATTTGGTTTGGTGTGGTTTGGTTTGTCTTGGTGTTGGTTCAGTTTGGTTTGGTTTGGTTGGTTTTGTTTGGTTGGTTTGTTTGCTTACTCGTTTGTTTGTCTTTTAGTTTGTGTTTATGTTTGTGCATGTGTTTGCATGGTGTTGCGTTTTCGCTTTGTTTCTTTTTTCATACATGTTGATTGTCTGGGGCCAGGAGCTCCTGGGCCAGTTCCTGCGGGAGTCAGGTGCCAAGGATGTACAGGCGGAATGGGTGAGACACTCCAATGCCGCTACTTCTGATGGAAAGCTGGGTAGCTTTGATTAAAGTGGTTGCACTCAAACCGAAGCCTCGAAATTGCTCAGACCACCACGGAATTTGGAGGATTCTTGCCAAAATGAACCCAGGAAAGCAACAGATCGCCAGAGAAGGTTTGAGATCCCTCGTAGCGGTTTTGATTGATCCTCTACAACCTGGACAAATGCAGCAATGGAGACTTTTTTATGTTACTATTTGAGAGGCGTGAGTTGATACAGTACTGGACAGCATGATTTTGGTCAGGATCCGCGGCGCCTTCTTTGCTTCACTTATTATGCGGACCGTTGTTGGACTGCACGTCGCTTCGGACACAACACATACTCGCACCTCTTCGTGGTAACCAAGACATAAAGCTATGGTTGGGGTTGTGCCCGTTGATTTGCCAACCGTATACGCTCGCTTGTGTAGGTGGCGACCAAGTTCGCGGCCTTTCCCTGGAAGTTGGATCGGCAGGACGGTTTCTGGAACTCGTTGAAAGGCATGTGAAGTCAAAAACAACCCTGGTGCCCCGTTTCGCCGACGGAAACTGGAATCCCTTGTCGCAGCTGGAGAGATTCCGCAGGACGTCGTGAAGGCGTGCAAGGGCTCGCTGGAGCGCTTGGGCACCATGGCTCGCAAAACGGGTATTCGAAGGGTTGGGCAAGTCTTGTTGAAGCAAACAATCCATGGCCCCTTTCTGACTGGCAACCAAAATGATGTGTCCAAGCACCAGTGGTTTAAGACATGCAGCAAGCCATTCACAACTGACCCAAGCCAGGGGATTACCTGGAACAGCGTAGTGGGAAGGTTACATGTGACATGTGGGGCTGAGCCCTGAGCCCTGGGCAAGACAAGGTTTGGCAAGCAAGAAGTGGTATCTGCGACGTTGGATTCGGATGGCAGTTTGCTGCATGTGGCGGTTTTGCAGTTTTGCAGCTTGCCTGCACCAGGTTGAATGCGCTCGCCCAACTGTAGCTCTTTCGAGGTCATGTTTGAAATCGAAGTATTTTCAGCTGCATAATCACTTTGATTTAGTTGTGCTGACGTCAAGCGCACTCTGAGATAACAAGAAGCTTGACTCAAGATCCATCTCAGAATTTTCCCATGGCACCTTTATGAAAATCCGCCAAGTTTCTAGGGGCTAGCATCCTCTTTCAGACTTGGTCGACGAACGGCCAGCTATGATGGGCCTCTTAACATAGCTGACAAACTGCCATTTGTTTGAGACCTTTGGGATTGTATTTCGTCAGGCCCAAAGACTAGGGGCCTAGGGGCGGGGACTTGCCGATGACTTTGCTTTTGTTGGGAAATGATTTCTCAGATGTCAAGATTCTGGTGCTGGGAATCTGGCGGATGGGGCACCCACATGCCGAGGCACGGACTCCATCGATCTCTACCAGATCCATTTCCCTTCGGCAGCTGGCTTCAACGACGCGTCACCCATGCCCCCTTTCCATGTATTGGTTTCCGGATGGATCTGGGTAAAGTATGGTGCCCTCACAAGGAGGGTGTGTGTGACCCCCGCCTTCATTTCTCAGATGCGGCATACTTCACCCTGCCGATCCCTGCATGGTGCGGGTTATTCTCATGCAGGTAATCATGGCGGCCCTCATTAGGTGGCTCTCCTTTTGACAAACCGCCTTCTCGGGTTTCATGTTCAATTGTAGGGCGGACGCAAAAGCCGACTGGCAGGCATGACCATGAGAGTTCACGAGTTTGTGTTTCGCCTCATGTCGTGTGAAAATAAAGAGCAGTGTCCTTGCTTTTGTCCTTAATTTGCTTCGAGAATGAGTCTCAACAGAGGGTGCAACCGGATGAACCATTGCATTCTGTCTTAGCTTAGCAAACGTCCAGTCTCTTTTGACCACAGGAATACACGTCTAAAACGGGAAAGCTATGCTCGCTTCCGACAGTGGTAGAGCCACACTCCCTACATTGGCGCTTGATTCTGCGACCCATGGGTGTGTCGTTCTTGAGGGTGGCCTTCTCGGGGAAACTGTCAAGAGCCGAAAGCAATGCAGCCCGTGGTTGTGTTATTCTGCCACTTTCTGTGATTCAGTGATACCACTTTAACAAAAACAAAGTTTAAAGTGGTGAACTGGCCACGGCCATTTGCCCACTTCTGACAGAAGCGATCATTTTCCGCGGCCATGATCCAACCATTGAAGAGCCTTAGTTTCAGAAATAGCCCGTGGCCCGCAGCCAAGGTGTGGAAGAATGAGGCGGCGTGCTCAGCTGGGAACAGTGGGAAGTTTTGTAGGTCAATTCAGGGGACCCATCCAATGGGTTCTAGTAAACGACTTCCTGATTGCGCCAAAGGACGATCACGTGTGTAGTTTGGAGTTCAACTGTTAGAGCCCAAGTACCCAAGTAGTGTGTTGTTGGGGAGGACACGGGGGGCCTGCCCAAATTTCACACAACAACCAGAAGGTCCACCCGATTTTGTTCCATGTCTTCTTGGCGAAACAACGTAATTTTGTCCAGGGCTCATTTGTTTGTGCTTATGCCTACAAATGTGATCGGTACGCTTGCCAACTCGGGACGGACTATCAAGGCCAAGCCGAGGGAATCATTTGTGCGACGTGTTTGTGCCTTCATGGTTGGACAGGTTGAAATGACTATGATCTATAAGTCTATGATTCATCCAGATCAGCTATGTGTGTTTGGTTTTGAGTGTGCCGTTTTCAGGTTGATTTGAAGCGAAGCACAAAGGAAAAAAACCACCTACCTTTAAGCACCTTTAAACATGCATATTATATATACATGTTTATATATATATATATATATGTATATATATATATATAGATACACATATGATCATATGATCCCAGGTCTTCTGGGACGGCCTTGGGGATTGCTTTGAGCAGGGCCTCGTGAAAGCCGTGGGCGTCTCCAACTACGGCATCTTTGAGTCGAAGCAAACGAACCGGGGGGAAATGCACTGGAAGGACCCCGAAAAGTTGTCTTCCAGGGGATCCACACGAACTATATTCTCATTGTGTATGTTTTGGTGGTTCCCTTGTAGATAGACAAAATCCACTTTGCAGCAGTTGGGATGGAGCCTACGAATACTCGGTATGAACACTGGGATCGCCACCTGCAAGGTGCGAAGCGGATTTTGGCCAAAGGGAGGTGGAACTAGGGAGTATGCTGTAAGACAAACGGAGCGGAGCCAACAGGTTGACAATATGAACGCTGGAGGCCCCGCTCGTCAGCGGCAAATGTGTTTTCATTCATGTGTGCAGGAGGGACTACTCGGGGGGGGGGGGGGTCAGAGTGCATGGGTGTGTTCCAAAGCAGGGAGAGATTCTCCAAAAAGTTCCTTTTGTCTGACACATTTCGGTCTACAACTCTATTGCGAAAACGAGCGATTGGTGGAGCCAGGTACAAGAAAGCGGAATGAGCATGCATGCGCGCCGTGCGGCCGCAATCATGAAGTCGTGGTGTCGGCCCTGAAGCAAGCGTTACACATGCAATCTACCGAACTGGGACAACGTGCACTTGCACCAAAGGGCAGTCATGTGTGTAGTACCCTATGTAAGGGTTCCTATTCTGTGTGTGTGTGTACTTGTTTTCAAGTCAATGCATACATGTTGGAATCCCTGTATAAAGTGCCCCAAATTTTGCTCCACGATGTGCTTCCAAAAGACGCAGGGATTTTTGTCTCAGGGAGCAGGACATTAAATCCCCACCTGCTCCCGTAAAAGAGTCCGTTTATTTGGGGGAGCGAACAGGGGCTCGTCTCAAGATAGGTGACCCCGAAGTGTAGCTGTCCTTCGGTTTTCACATTCAACCCCAAACAAAAGTACACCTGCGGGTAAAGCGAGCTCACCCGTTTTGGAGGAGCTTTAATAGTCGTTTGTGAATTATTGTGAACTTGACCTAGAGGAGCAGTGTGAAGCCACCCAACATAGCCAAGAAAGTCTGAAGGTCAGAAAGTATCAGAACCAACGTAGTGCGAATATTATACGGGCTTGCCTCAAATTTAAAGGACCCTCGACTCGAGACCCCAAAATGGTTGGCCATCGGTTTATTCCGGCGTCAGCTCACCTGCAAGGCAGCGCGGCGGTGCGCGCCATCAGCAAGACGTTGGGAGAGCGAGGCATCCCGCTGAGCTCCAACCAGATCCAATACTCTTTGCTCTACCGCTACCCGGAGCTGATGCTTGGGACAGGACCGAGGGACCGACCGGCGTCCCTATGATTGTGGGAGGCATTTGACTTTGGGATTTGTTATGAGGAAGTACGGCATCCCTTAAAGTTGTCAATTGCGAGGGTTCGACCCCGAAAATTTCATTTAGAACTTCCTGTGTCTGAAGTCCAAAGAAATGGAATTGGAGGCGCAGGATGGCTGGCAGTGTGGGCTGGAGGGAACAAGGGAGCGCACAAATGCCACGTGAAGATTCATTAACTGGCGTCAGCCATACGGCGGGTTGCATGCTGTCATCAGTTTGGATGACAGCGTCGGGCAGCCATTGTACGAGACAAAATTTAAATGCCACGATCCACATGGGCTACAGGTTTGGATTCTGTTCCGAGCTTCTTAGTGACACCCTTTTTCCTTTTTGGCTGGGCACAAAAACTGATCTTGACGTTCCCTTTTTGCAGGGCAACTCTAGAGAATGGGCAGCACCTTCTCAACCAAATCCTGTGCACCTCCGTGATTGTTACATAATAGAGAAACCTTTTCGCCAGATGTTCCCTTCCATCCGGAGCCCCGACATGGCCATGTGTCAACATTGCAGGACCCCCCCTCCAAAAAAACAATAAGCAAAACAAGCACACAAGCACACAAACAAGCAAACAAACAAAGAAACAAACAAACAAACAAAGAAACAAACAAACAAACACACAAACAATCAAACACACAAACACACAAACAAACACACACACACACAAACAAACAAACAAACAAACAAGCAAGCAAGCAAACAAACAAAAATCAAACAAACAAAAAACAAACAAAAACAAACAAAAAACAATCAAAAAACAAACAAACAAAAACACAAACAAACAAACAAGCAAGCAAGCAAGCAAGCAAACAAGCAAAAAGACAGACGCACAATCAAGCAAACAAACAAAGCACGCAAACACACAAACAAACAATCAAATGACACCAGCATAGACCCCAGATAGCACACCACGGCTACGAACCATGACGCAGCATCATAATGGTTCCCTCGGCATCATGCTGATGTTGACAGCATCATGATGATGTTGAGAGCATCATGACGATACCACAGCCGCTCAGCATGGTGCGCTAAATAGACGCGCAGACAACGTCCTTATGAGCTCAGCGGCACAATGATGATGTCGACAGCATCACGCTGATACACCAGCCATGAACGATTCAGCAGGAAAAAACGCAGAGACGACGTCCTGATGAGTTCGACAGCATCATGATGATGCGGACAGCATCATGGTGATTGTGAAGGCAACAGCATGACGATACCACAGCCACAAATCATCTTGCGAAGCGTAATGAAATTCAGCATCATCCTGATGTTGACAGCATCATGGCGCCACCGCACCCACGAACCATAACGCAGCATCGCAGTGACAGCAGCATCATGACGTGGTTGACTACATTATGATGATACACCAGCCACAAACCACGAACCATTACTCACGACATTTGGAGCAGCAACAATGTCCAAATCGGTTTTTTCAACTGCATCATGATGCTGCGGACAGCATCAAGATGATGCCACAACCACGATACCCCAAACAGCGCCCGCCCTGCACTCTGCCATCCATATGCGCCCGCACCGTCACCAACACCGCAAGACAGCAGCCCCAACAGCACCCTACGCAGCACCCGCGCCGGCGCCGGACATGTCCCCAAACGCCCTGCTGCCACGTGCTGTGTCACCAGCCCGAACAGCACCTCAAAACCGCACCTGCGCCAGTACCCCAAAGCGCGTGCCCCCCAGCTCCCAGACGTCAATCTTGCAAAACATTCAATTATCTGGGAGATAAGCGCCTGCACGGTCAGCAGCACCTCAAACAGCAACCAAAACAAGCACTTACACCACCGCCGCAAACTGCATCCCTAGCACCCGCCGGCAATCTTGGCAACAGCACTGCGCAGTACCCCAAAACAGCACCTGCGTCAGCACCCGAAACTGCATGCGGCCACCAATCTCGCAAAAATGCGCCTGCACCATCACCAGCAGCTCAATCAAACAGCACCCCAGAGCAGCACGTGCACCAGCCAAACTGACCCTGACCCTCCATCGCCTTCAAAGTTCAAGGTCGATCGTTTTTCGTGTGGGCCGACGTTTTTTCGTTTGATCGCCGCTTTTTCGCGCCCAGGCATGTTTGCAACGCGGGCGCGTCGTGCACGCTAAAAGTTTCCGCTGCAAGCTGCTGCAAGCTTTCGGGTTGTGACCGGGCGCGCGTCAGCTGCAAGCAGTTGCGGTTATAGTTTAAGTGCACTTGGTGACCACTTTCGCTTGGGCAAGTTTGTTCGACACCATGGTCGTCGGGCTGACACTTTACGCATTGCCTGACCGAAACTGCGGCCAGTGTACTTCGACGCCTTAGGGCAAAACATGTGTTGCCACCTTTCGCTGCTGACTCTTTTTGATACGGGAATTGGCTTGATGGGGCAACTCATATCCTTTTTGGCGCAACACCCTGACTGATCGCATCTGACACCAGTCCACGCACGTAAGCATCTTTGACTTGCAGCCGCACCGGCTATCAGCCAACACTGAGTACTGACAGCAGGCAATACCTTAAGAGACCCTTCACAGCCAGAACTTTCTCCACTGAAGAACTTTGACGAAGGGCGTTGTGGCTCGGCGTTCTAGCAGGCGCTTGCCATTTGCGTGCGCGCGTGGCCGCAACCAACCTTCTTCGCGCGCGCAAATCAGGCTATCGCTCGTTTTGCGCCATTGCTGACATCAGTTTGCGCTTTCTTCTGCGTTTCTCGCCGCGGTGCCCGCACTAACTGCTTTCAACCATAGCAGGGTCATTTTCGGTAGCCTCAAGCAAATTTTGTGAAGTGGCCGCAGATCACGGTCAATTGCCCGCCAATCACGGTCAATTGCCCGCGAATCACGGTCAATTGCCCGCGGATCACGGTCAATAGGCCGCGGATCACGGTCAATCGGCCGCAAAGCACGGAGCAAATCCTGAACAACCGCTTCCAGCCGCGGCGTGCCCTGCCACAAAAATGGAAAGAGTGACAGCTGCACGCTGCCTGCGGACCATCCCCCCATCGACAGCCCACAGTGCCGCTTGTTCAAAACCGAGGGCCGGGAACACACCCACAGACAAACGCTGACACACAGAGGCATTAAGTTCCCCGTGCGCCGGCACGCATGCGCGCCCAGAAACAAAAATTAACATTTACGCATATGCGCAGACAAAAAAAGACGCAGACTGCGCACATGCGTGCAGACAGAATTGCAAAAATGGATCGCAAGCCGCTGATAAGAAAGCTGTTGCTCAGGTGTATTAGGAGCCAAGTGCCCAAAGACTCAGCCCCTTTCGGCGCAGAGCGGAGCCACGCGCGCAGTGGCTTGAAGTTGTTGCTTGGCTGGCCTTCTGGCAAGGAGCCGTTGGCCGGATTCCTGGAGCGGGCTTGGAGCCCCACCTGCAAGTATACCAGGGGTAAAAAGATAGCTGAACGCGCGTCAAACACTTGTTGCTTACCCAGCTGCCAGCTGGACCCAGCTTGTAGAAGGGCAATGGACGCACACACACACACACAAATGCCAGAGACAACTCTGCGCTGCTGCGTCTCAACTGCGAAATTCATGTGCGCCGCTGGAGCTCGCACTAATTTCGCTACCCGCGTACCCTCCTGGGACATCGCCCGCCACATTTGCAGACAATGGAAGGTCAGGGTGAATGCCCCCTAGCACCCACTGTGCATCATCGCCTTAAACAGCACAGGCGCCAAACAGCACCTCCACCAGCACCGCAAACTGCATGCCCCCTACCGCCTATACCGTCACCTCCACCAGCGCCCCAAACTGCATGCTTCTAGCACCCGGCCGTCAATCTCGCAAGACAGCACCTCCACCGGCACTTCAAACTACATGCTCCTAGCATTCGTCCATCAATCTTGCAAAGCGGAACCTGCACCAGCACCCTGCATGCCCCCCGGCACACGGCCGTCGCCAAACACCTAGAACCCGGCAGCCAAGCTCGCAAGACAGCACCACCGTGCTCTTGCTGCCGAGGGCAGCCCACTGTGCGCCAGCCGCCTCGGCAGAGGACTTCATGACACTTCATGAACAACGTCGGCGAGCTCATCTTTGAGAGCACCGCCCACGTTTTGCTGGCCTGCGAGGAGTTCCGCCACACAGGCCCGGGCGTGCGCGAGGCAGACCTCTTGGACTGCCTGCACGAGGTGGGCCAGGAGAAGTACCAGTGCAAAGGCTGCGCTTGGGCGGCGTGGCGCCTCATGGGCCAAGCTCAGCAGACCCCTTCCGTCACGCACGCCACGCTTCAACCCGAAGAAGGGGCAAGCACGTGGGTCTTCTTCCACAAGACTGCCATGAAGCTGCTGCCCCGTCCTCCTCCGTTCACCCGCCTGTACAAGCTCGGCAAGGGCAAGTTGCACGACCTGGTGAAGCTGATGACCTGCTGCCGGGCGCAAAGGGGGACCATGAGGAGCATGACGCGGCCCGAGTACGATGCCATTGTCGGAACAAAAGCGGTCGAGTTCTCGCCGCGCCGGGTCCTGAAGCAGTACGAGGAGATGACGCTGGCCGAGTTCCAGAGCCATATCATCAAGCTCGACACGATCTACCGAGGCGACAAGCTCTTGAACTCCGGCAAGCGCCCGCCGAAAACCGAGGAAGAGTTCACGCACTTGCAGAGCAGAGGCCTCATGCAGCTCCGCAAGCAACTCCAGGACGACCAGGTGCAGGTGGAGAGCCTGTTGGTGTCGTGCGACCGCCAGCTTCGGATGACCGACTTTGTCATCAGTGTCCCCTTGCAAAACAGCACCTCCACCAGCGCCCCATGCCCCATTGCGCTCGGCCGTCAATCTCGCAAAGCGCGCCCCAAACTAGTTGCCCTCTAGCACTCTGCCGTCAATCACGCAAAACTGCATCCCCTAGCACCCGGCCATCAAGCTCGCAAAACAGCACCTCCACCAGCGCCCCAAACTATATGTCCCCTCGCAAAACAGCACCTCCACCAGCACCCCAAACTACATGCCCCGTTGCGCTCGGCCGTCAATCTCGCAAAGTGCGCCCCAAACTAGATGCCCCCTAGCACTCTGCCGTCAATCTCGCAAAACAGCGCCTCTACCAACACCCAAACAGCATGCCCCCTAGCACCCGGCCGTCAGGCTCGCAAAACAGCACCCCAGCACCCCAAATTGCATCCCCTAGCACCCGGCCGCCAAGCTCGCAAAACAGCACCCCCACCAGCACCCCAAACTACATGCCGCCTAGCGCCCGGCCGTCAAGCTCACAAAACAGCACCTCCGCCAGCACTCCAAACTGCATGCCCCCTAGCACCCGGCCCTCAATCTCGCAAATCATTTTCCCTTCTTTTATTAGAAGTTAGAACAAACAAACAAACAAACAAACAAACAAACAAACAAACACACAAACAAACAAACACACAAACAAACAAACACACAGACAAACAAGCAGACAAACAATCAAACAAACATCAAACAAACAAACAAACAATCAAACAAACAAACAAACAACCACACAAACACACAAACACACAAACACACAAAAAGAAAAAACACGCAAACAAACAAACAATCAAGCAAGCAAACAGAGAAACAAAAAGACAAACAGACAAACAAACAAACAAACAAACACACAAACAAATACAACTGCTGGTTTGCGTCCCTGTAAAAAATATCGCAAAGGTAACCTCAAAACAAGCACACCCAGGAACGGCATGAAGGCCACCTGTGACGAGCTGGGCGTGAAGATCTTGGCCTACAGCCCTTTGGCGCTAGGCGAGGGGTTGTGTGGCAAAAAGGAGAACCGACCTCCCCCCAAAAAAAACAAGATGGACGCCCTTGGCGACAGCCCTAAAAGGAGATGCCTCTTGACGTGAGCCATGGACAGTGCTCTTTGTTCCCCAAGAGGATGTGGGAACGTGGGGCCGTCCCCTGGATTGTGCCGCAAGTCCTCCCCAAACCAACAAGAGACTGCTGCATGAGTTTAAGCCAAGGGGAGGAGTCCACACAATCGTTGGTTTCTGTTTGGTTTCGCTTTAAGCAACCCACACACACAGGCTACTCTCGAAAAAGCTACCGACATGGGGATTCCGGTGCCACTTCGTTGGCTGACAGCTACAGTGAGGGGTTTTCTGTGACAAGAATGTGCATGGAGGTTCTGGTAGGTCTGTATGAGCTCGCATCTCTACAACTTAGCATGGAACAATGCTCAATGATTGATCAGGGTTGGTCAAAATCTGTTTACACAACCAGACCCTGGGCGGCTTCAAGTGACAAACAAAGCGCAGTGTTAGCAAGGGGTGTTTGAACATGTCTGGTCCCAATGCACTTCACCTTTCCATGAATGGGTGTGTGTTGTTTGAGGTACCTTTTGACTCTGGTTTCGATTCCAAGGGACACACACGGAGGATTTTTGGTACATCGCCCATGACAGAAAAGCTCCTTTCAAAGGGGTTTGAGCCTATTTCGGAAGGTTCCTTTAGGGGTGCCATTCATGAGGAAGTTTCCAGTCATTAGGCCTCCCCGTTTGTTGGGTCAGCGATTTTGTGTTGATTCGCCCAGATCCATGTATGTGTTTGGGGGACCCCAATGGGAAACCAGCAGGAAAACCTCATGTTTCGTGGATGCCACGAGTTTGACTCATACTCGTGTGTTGGCTTCGCAAAGCCAGGCGCCCTCACGGGGAAGTGGACCTCCGAGTCCCCGCCCAAGGGGCCCCGGGCGGCCTTGGCCGAGAAGTTGTTGCCGGGAGCTTAGTCGGACATGGCAAGGTGGCGGCCCTTCAGGACTTTCAACATTTGTTATTTAATATTTTCCCATTTGATTGCATGTAGTTTACATTTCGTAGAAGCTCCGAGCCATATCAATATCAATGGAGGAAGCAAGTAACACACCCTTGTATTGTGGTTTTTGGAGGTGTTCTGTGTTGATACCTTCTGTTTCGTGGATGTTACTGTGCCCACGTGAGCAACTGAGTAACTGAGCCGACAAGAAGAACACCAGTCTGCTAGGGAGCTTTGCCTGCTGGCTTGAAATTTGAAGTGATCTCCCTTTGCCAATTTGAGATTTGGTCTAGATGGAACGTGTAGAATCCGCCTTTGCCAACGATGCGAAAGATGGGACATCGCTGACCTTGGCGTAAGCGAAACACGTTTGTCAAGGTTGCGGGATTGCGTCAGGCAGGTTGATTTTGCGAGAAGAAACAGCTCAGCGATTAGGCGCTGCGGAACGGCAGATCAAGGACCCCCAACCAACTCAGCCTCTTTGGGCCAAACAACAGCTTCGCTGCTTTTGGGAAATACTAAGCTAGAGGCAAAGAGCAAGTTGAACCTCAAAAGCTAGGGGTTTTGGTTCAGTCGGGAGGCTCTTGATCACACACACAGAGTGGCTGCAGTCATAATTCATGTGTCGCAGAAGTGAGCGGGCAAGAAGTCGCAGAAATAACAGCGTTGTTTGTAGATGCTTGCATCATGCCGAGTCTCTATTGCTATGTGTGGATTTGGGAGCCGTGTAGGACTAACACCTGTTGTGCGGTAACAAGCCTTTTGGTCCTTGCAAGTCATGAAATGAGAGCATTAACATACCCCAGCTACTTGCAGAACCCAAAGCCAGATATTTGCAAGCACGGCCATTTCGAGCCTGACTTAGAGACAGCCAGTCTGCAAAAACCGCGGATTCAGCTTTCCGTATGGCTCTCCAAGGAAAGACTCCAATTGGTCCACGCTGTTGGCGGCCATGAAGGATGTGGCCAGTCAGCATGGGGACAAGACCACCCTCTCCCAGGCGGCGAACCATCATGGACCTCCGGGGGGGGGTTGGGTTCAACAGGGGATAACCCCCCCATCAGCCCTCATTGGACGTCCATAGAGAACCTTGAAACAGAGAGCCCTGGCTCGGGCTTTTAGTCGCCATCGGTTTGCCACGGTATGGCCGTTGCAGGTGCTGCAAGCTATCCCTTGCTACTTACTCGATGTACCTCTTCCGACTGCAGGGAGAGGAGTTCAAGTGCTCAGTCTTAAGAGAAAGTGTTCACAGATGTTGTTACTGGTGTAAGTCTGGTGCAAATCATGTTCCTGTGCCATCTGTTTTTCCAAAAGGACACCTATGGGGAAAGTTGGCACCTTTGACGGCTCACTGCGGTCTCGCTTCAAGCTAACAGTATTTGATCGCTGGGGGTACTAGTTGTAGACTGGACAATTTGTGGAGTTTGGCCAACCACGCTTTAGCTGCCAGTGAAACTTGGCAACTATTCCAGCGAAAACCGATACCCAAGTGAAGACTAATACGTATACATACAGAATACACATACAAATATATATATATATATATATATTTACAAATATATATGTATATATATATATATATATATGCATGCATGCAGCTATGTGTAGATGCTTGGTACCTCATCAGCTGCATGCTCCGGGTTGACAGGTGGCTATTGCCTGGACCATGGCCAAGGGGACCATTCCCATCCCCGGGGTCCGCAACGTGCGGCAGGCAGAGGCCCAACCGATTTAGAAAGGGTTTGGGGAGAGGGGTTCGGGGTGTGGGGACGTTCCTGGCTTTCTGTTTCTTCCAAGGTTGTCCGTTTTTAACCCCAAAAGCGCAGGTTGGATGTTGCCACAGGGACCATCCTGTGCGGGTGCTGTTGTTTTTAGAGGCGCATGATTCCCGCCGCTGTTTGTGTGTGTGTGTGTTGCACGCAAGTACGTGCTTGCGTGAGTGGATGGGGATGGAGGGGTGGATGGGCGTGGGTGCTTGTTTGTGACGTGTCTTCGTGCAGTGTTTGGTTTTGTGCCTGCTGTTTGTGTTTGTGTGCGTATGTTTAAGACAGGTCTTCCATGTCAATACGTGCGATGTGACACATCATGACCTGCTGTTGTCAAAGGGTTGGCATGGGACACACTCGCCAACGTACCACTATTTTCTGAGGGCACAGTTCCATGTCATGTATGTCCATTGAGCCTTCCAAATGCTTCCTCTGTGTGTGTTTAGCTGTCCTGCAGCCGTTTGTGTCAAAAGTGCATGGCTCATGTTGGCTTGCACATGTTCCCAACATGCTTCAAGACATTTGTCTTCCGAATTTGCTTCACATATGTAAGTATGTTGACTCCTCATTCCCCAAGCTTGTTTCAAGCAGCTAGGGCGTCGGGATTTGTTTATCATGACCGTTCTAATAATATATGAATATATATATATATAATATTAAGCAGACACAGTCAAACTTACAATTAAGCACACAATCAAATAACACATGTCCGATGACTAGGTTTAACGAGGAACCTCCCCTCCCAAACGGTTGGCGGACATAAACCCACCTGAATGATGCCAACCACAAACACATGCTCAATCAACACGCCCACCAATATATTTGCACAAGTTACAAGCAGCTCACCCAGGCAAAAACGGAGCTCTCCCATGAAGGTCTTGTTTCCTTTAGTAATTTGCCCAGATATGCTTCCGCCTTTGGCCAGGACAACTTGGGCGCCAGAAGGCTGAAGCTCTCGGCGAACGAGCTGCAAGCCCTGGACGCGGCGGCCGCCTTTCGGCGGAAGGGCTCGCTTCCTTCGGGTCGGGTGGTCGGGTGGAGAGAGTCAGAAGATCTCAAGCCTCGAACTATAGCGGAAACTTCGGTTTCGGATCTTTTTCTGTGATACTAAGGGGATCTCTCCTCAAACTTGCCTGGCGGAAGTCATGGAGCGGGGTAAGGGGTTGGGCGAAGAGCGCAAGGGCATGTTGCCTGTGGCCATGCTGCCCCTGTTGGTGGTTTCACTCATGACATTTGAAGTCAGTTTCCTTTGGTGGAGTGATGTTTAAGCAACAACATATAGGGTTCCCTTGTACCTGATATTTTGTAGGCCACCATGGGATCCCCACACTTTCCCATTTTGGATTTGATGCTTTGAGGTGTGATGCTGGTGGCTTGCAAACGCAGGCATCCCTGACTCTGATTGGGGAGGGGGGGAAGGTTGGAGGGCCACAAGATATTCACCTGGCGCTTCACCTGGCGGACAATCCCCGGGGGGATGTTAGCACATGCAACTGCAGATTGGAATGGTTATTTTTGTTTCTAATTTGTAGATGTCTTCATTTATTTTGATATCCGCATGTTAGGTACAAACTGCCTCCTGCTTTTGCACAGGGCTTGGCTGGCGCCCGAGGCCAAGGTCACTGGCTTCCTCGCCCCCGACGCGAGCCCCTTCAAGTCTTTGAGCCAGTCCTTGGACACCAAGCAGGCCATGTACGAGGCATAGAGCACATATTTCGCAAGCGGGTCGCAAGCGAACTTCCGGGCCGACGTGGCCGGCAGGAAATTCGAATCCGTGCCTGGGTCTCAAATCTGGGATATGTGTTGAACTGGTTTTGCATTTTAAGTGTCACTCGGTATGAACCAAAATTGCAAAAAGCTTGTTGGCGGCAAAAGCCGGGGTAGAAAAGGCGGAGAACCTGCGTGTTAGCTGATTTGAGACACAGCTTGAGAATCGAATGATACCCCTGGTTGGGGCATATGCTGCCTGGGATTGCAGAGCAGCCAGAGGTGCCCGTGATCATTGCTGGATGAACCCACAGGTATTTGAAGCTCCAGTTCGATCTATGGACCAAAGACCTATTGAATGAACCAGAGTCCGACATTTATTTTGCTCGGCAATGGCTGAGGTGTGATGCAAGACATTTGGCACAGCACCTCAGGCGTGGCTCTGTGTTTTCTGCTCAGCGCAGCTGCAGCAATCTATTTTGTTTTTTCTCACTAAAGAGTGCTAAGTGTGCCGATCCGGCGAGGATTGTTTCTAGGTTCGCTGTGGCTTTGTCAAGCTACGCGCGTAGGACAGAAAAAGAGTTGCTGCCCTATCAGCTCATAACTGGTGTTGAGCTCATGACCATCTCCTTTGCTTTGCTGTGCCACAGCTTTGTTGTCACGTTTGACAGCCTTGCTGTTTCTTCTGCGTGTTTCTGCTGCTGCCCATGTATAATCGATATGATGCGCTGCCTCCTTCTTCTTCCTCTTCTTCTTTTTTGGCTGGATTTCCTCTCCTGCTTCTTCTTTTCCTTATTTTGTTTCTCCTCCCTGTTTTTTTTCCCCCGCGTCTTCTTGTGGTTTGCCGTTTTGTCCGAATGCTATCCCGTGCGCGTGGTTCCCTGGCTCGCCGCCATGTTGCCTCCATGAGGCTCCACCTCGCCGCCTTCCATGGGGAGGCGCTCGCGCGAGGGATGGCTCGGGGACTCCCTGAATGACTCTGCGCCTCCACGCTCGGAAGCCATAGGATGCATGAAAAAACAAAGCCATACATGAAAAAACACAACAACTCGGAGTCTTGATGTTGAGCCGTTGTCTCAGACATGTGTTGGTGTTGGTCCTGATTACGAAGGATGAGCCACTGTCTTTCCAAAGCAGTTCCTATAGTATATGTCTCTAAGATGTCTAAGCTGTCTTGGGATGCACAAGCAATTGTCCCAGGCGAATTGTGTTGTTCCGTTTACTAGTTCATGTTAACTGAACCTTAATTGTCGTTCACGTGCAGGTACCTTGGACAGCTGCCTATTTGTTCAGTGGATTTCACCCTTCAGCTTCCTGCTTGTTTGGTGAGATCCTGTTTTTCCAGCAGGATCACTGGGCAACTGGCGTATTGCATAGACTCACTGTGAGATCTTGCTGCGTCTTATTCACCGGGGTGCGTCTGATAATAGGAGTTGGACTCCCTGACATGGGTTGTTTCCTCGAGGTTCCTTTAAAACCACCGCCAAACGGTAACGAGCCTCAGCTTTCGGGGCGTTGTAAAAGGACAAAGGAACCTCCCCATTTGGTGGGTTCCTTTTTGAGACAAACGCACCATGTCCTCAAACTTTGCTTCGCACTCGCGACAGGCGATCGCCTGCTCGGTGCTGAGCTGGGCCGCCTCTTGGCGAGAAAACGTGGCCAGAAGAGAAAGCTTGCCAGGGACACTTCGAGGTTTTGCAGCCATCAACAAAAAGAATGCCCCAAAAGCAGGTGCTTGAAAAATCGACCCTAAGTGTCTAAAATAACATATGGAGGCATCTGGTTGGTTGAGCCCTTGGCGATGAAGCAAAGATACTGGTGGACAAATTGCCCATGCCACGCACTAGTTTGTAGGTGGTTTATCAAACGAGGAAGACAACTCATAACATCCCTATGAGGGGTGCGATATGGATGTTGGCCGCCTGTATCAAGCTCCCGAGAAGAACATGTTTGCCTTGGCCATGGGCTTTCGTCCATGTTCCTGGAGCACATGTTTGGTGTTTTGAGGGGATCTTTGATTGGAGTCCAACCCCTCCCCATGGCTTCCTCCAAAAGCCTTGATAAGCCCACACTAGGGTCCACTTTCAGGGGGACTCGGGGATGGAGGGTGTATACACTCACAAGCGGACTGGCCATCAGGCGACCCGAAGCTCCTCGGGCTGGCGCCTCTTTAACATCCAGGAGAGGGTCTGAGGGAAGGCGTGCAAGTTCGGATTTGGGTGGATGTTGATGGATGGATTTGGATGGATTTGGATGGATTGTGTATGATTTTCACCATGTCGCACCAAACAACTGAGGCTGTTGCTGATTCCCCAGTCACTCCGAATTTGAATGATGAAACTTGGCAGCATGTCAGGTCTATTGAATTTTTGCGGTCAGCTTAGTGATGGCTGCTTCCCGGCAATATTCGCTTCTCAGTTCCGATGTTTTTCTACCGAAGGCGTTCACTTGAAATCCCACAAAGCGTATTTTAACCAGTCGCTTCGAGCTCACCTGAAAGTCCACAAACCTTCTGAAGGATGCTCTCTTGGTTTTAGGACGGCAAGCATTCTCATTGATTCTCATTGGTGCGGGCCCCGCCCCCAGTTCTAGCTGATGACGCGCCAATGCGTCCCCGAGTGTTTCTGTGTTTATTGCCTGTGTAGTTGCCCCTCTCTCTCCCTCCTGTTTGTTTCTCTCTCTGTCTCTCTCTCTTTTTCTCTCTCTCGCTCTCTCTCTCGCTCTCTCTCTCTCTCTCGGTGTGTCTTTGTGTTTCTTTGCTGCCTCTGCACGTCTCTGTGTGCCCCTCTGCTTGTCTCTGCGTGTTTGTATGTTCGCATTTTTGGGTTGCGTTTGTGGGTCTGTGAGCTTTCGCCATGAGGCGTTCCCTCGGACAAACTCACAAACCGCAGGACATGCACATGTTCACGCCCTTGGCACGGGCGCTACACGGGTGGCAGGCGAGGGACGAATTGATGCTCGCTGTGCGATTGATTGCAGGGAATCCACAGCATCAGTTCCGTGTAATATAAACTAAGACTCTGATACGCTCAGACTCAATTTGCTGTTTGGCACCCAATTATATATATATATGTATCGGCTCAATGTCAATGACATACTATGTTCCATGAACAAATCAGCATTTACCGTGAAAAGTCCATCAGGTGTTGATGGCGGAGCCTCTGCCCGCTTTCAGAGTCTGTTGGCCTAATCGGCTCATTCTGCAATTCCAAATGGTAAAATAATCCGAGCCCCAATGTAATGGACCTGCATCATGGGTGGCAATGCTCATTCACAGTTTATGGGTTCATGTTTGCAGTGCGGTAGTCAGGATTTGTCCGCAAGGCAGAGTTTGCAACAATTGGGAGCTCTCTAGTGGTTGTTCTACCCTGGTGTCTTCTTTTGAATAATATGGAACCAGCATGACCTCGGTATCCCTGACTGAATGAACCACCCATTGAGTCTGCAAATGGCGCCCTAGACGCTAGACAAGCATGATTACAAGGCCAAAGAAAGAGCAAAGTAATGCAAGGAACTGACAGTAAAGTGTTTGGCAGCCCCCTTGATAATTCATATTTTGGCACGGGTATGTGTCAAAATACGGGGTCCACAAAGGTAGCTGTTTTCGTTTTGGTTCCCAAATAAACCAAGGTAAAACGGGTACTCTCAACACCACACACACACACACATTCACACACACACACTCGCATATTCTGAAGCAACAGGGTGAAGGGTGAGGTTGTCCATGGCTTTAACGTACTTGGGCGACAGGGGTATGACCGGAAAAGAAACCTTTCAGCGCAGCCCCCAACAAGCTGGCAAGTGCCAACTAAGCAATATGCTAGAAAGTTGCCCAGAGGGCCAAGATCAGTCTGCCGTCACTGACAGTCACCCTTCGTTGGACTACCATGTTAATGGCATGCTGTCTCAATTTCAAGAACCGCTGAAGGTGCTGGGGGGGCAAGCCTCGTTACGAAGAATGTGTTTTATTGCTACTAACAAAAAGGGATGCCCAGTGAGGTCTTCTGAAGCATTGTTGAATATGTTGTCTTCTTCCTGCGGCTGATTGCAGTCACCCCAATCTGAATGGTTTGCCAGTGAATTCCTATTGATTATCCACTACCAATGGCTGCGGGGGCTAATCCGATCCAAAAACAGCAGCTTTCGTCAGGTGCCCTGCGCTCGAGCCTATGCACTCAGCCCAAAGCTCAGATGCGCTGGATTTTGCTTGAGGATTCTCCCCAGTTGGGTGGGTGTTGTTTGGAGGGTACTCTTTTTGGGGTGGTTTTAATGGGAATCCAACTGGAGAATCACCATGTTTGGGGCTCCCTGATTCCAACACTCCTAGTTGTTTACTTGTACCCTTTGTTTGTTGGGTTCGGGACTCGTTGAACATGGTCAATCCCAAAAAGGGTGTCCCTTTTCGTGGGCCGCTAGGTCCTCTAGGGTCACTGGGCGCCTCGGGAACTGACTGAAGTCCATGAGCCTGGAGCTGCTCAGTATGACATCAGTGTGGCCAATTGTGGAGGTACTGGTTTTAAGCAGAGTTTGCATCACATATGGCAAACCAGTTCCGTGGAAAGACTACAGGCGACAATAGGCGATCATCCAAGCCTGTTATATGCGGTGGACCCTATCATCAATCAAAGCTACTTCTTTCCTTTAGATTTAAGAGTTTCCGTCCAGCCAACCGTTGAGGGAGGTTAAAACAATTTTTTTAGTGATTTGGGAGTGAGGGTTGGAGCAAGAAAATAGCAATCTGAAAATTAAGAGCAAACTGAAAAGCAAGAAAAAGGTGATCCACTTGCAACAGTTGACAAAAAAAAGCAAGAACCTAGTGATCAGATGGTCATCAAATAGTGATTTGGGCACCTCAAAATAGCGAGAATCCAAATAGTGATTATATGGGAGATCACTATTTTCTTGCTTTTTTTGGAGGCGACGACCCTCGAAACCCGGAAATCTGCAAATCACAACGGGAGATCACTATTTTCTTGCTTTTTTGGAGTGGAAAATCAT